TTTTTATTTCTTTTTCTTTAGATGTTTCGCTAACCCAATATCTTGATCCTTTTTCATTGCGTCCGGATTAATAATATACCGTTTTGTCCTAATCGATCTCGTCCGGCACTAAGCGCGATGGATTCCGGAATGTCGAAATTTCTGTCCGGCTCCCGAATGTTGGGCATGGCTTATTTATCCGATCGAGGCCGAAGGGCAGATCCAAGAGGCAATGATCGTCAGCCGAGAAAAGGAAAAAAAAAAAGAGGAAAAGAGATAACAACGACGATCTTACACGCTGTGATCTGTCTCGCGCGACTTAGGCGTCGCGCCGACCATGTAATTTCGATTCGCTGTTCCGCGAAACTCGTCGGTAATTGAGCAAATTGGCAATCCTGCCAATCAATCGCTAAATATCAAGGATAGCGCGATCGTTTTCGCGTGTGCTCGCTCGCTCACAAGGCAACACACTCACGCGCGAGTTTCGCGCGCTCGTCGCCGATCGCTCCTGTCATCCTTTTGCCTAGCAGGCTCTCCCCGACGTATAAAATCCAATCGAGAGATTTCCGGGAAATAAAAAGGCGATGGCGACGACATCTTACGCAACGCGATTTGTCCCGATGTCGGCACTCGCCTTCGCCGGTCGCTTTTGTTTCAATCACCCACCGCCAACCTGCGGCCTCTTTCGCAAAACTGACTTACGGCGGTAAGTAAAAGTAATAAAAAAATACTTCCATGTGCCTAAATCATGCAGATCTTGAAATGATATGATGGGTCGAATTTATAAATGATATATTATAATTTTTGATATTCCGTAAATTAGGATAGCTTAAAATCAACACTATAAAAAATTGTTTCTGGTATCTTATTATTAAATTAAATTAAATTTTATATCAATTATCAATTTATATCAATCAAAATCAATAATAAAAAAATATCTCAATAAATAGTTTGCTTCAAATTTGATTTTTCAGTTATTATTATTAAATTAAAAATGAAGCTTAAAAGAACTTCGAAAAATTATTTTAGTGAGATAGCCTAAAAAAATCGAAGAAAAATGATTCCCATAAATTTTCATCTTTTAAATACAATTATATATGAGAATACCATCGTATTTTTTTTCATTAAAATCTAGAAAAGGTAGTTTCACCATGCTCTTGAGATGATTTCGTTGAATTTTAATTTATTTCAGTCCACACCCATAAGATCGTCCTTTACTTTGTGTTTACGGATTTTGAGAAAGAAACACGCCTAGAAATCACGCGTTGTGACATCCGAAGATCGAAGTTTAGAAAACGACGAAATCTGAAGTCGTTTTCAAAAGAGAAGATATGGCCCATTTTATCGCTTATTGCTCGAGACGTGCATTTCGATATTCGAGAGGAACGAACAAAAAGTTGCCATATATCGCCACGTATATTCAAAATATATGACGATGCCGCTGCATCGAAAATGGTAGGATTAAAACTTCTCGGTTTAGTGAACGCATTAACTCTCTCAATGCCACGTCTTGTTTGCGAATACGCTTCGGTTGATTGTCACGTTTCTTTATTTGACGTAACAATGATTTTGAATAAACACATTGATAGCGTAACAAAAAGTAATGGCGTATCCCCTTCCTTTTTTTGCGGATTTGCCAGTTTTTGTCGTTTAATAATTATAGAACTCGCGGCGGCCGTTGAAGCCCGTTTTCGAGAACGGTGTTTTTTTTTTTTTTTTCATTCGTCGATCAACAGTATCGCTGACAATGTAGAAATCATCAATAACGTCGAACGACTTGACGTTTTTCGCACTAACATGTAAAAAAAAAAGGAGCCACGAGAAACC